GTTCTTACAATAAAAGGCCTATAGACTAGCACTTTGTCTATTATAGTGTAGAGGTTAGGAACCACAAGATGTAGAGGCTCAGCTATGTCATTTATGGTTCTTAAGTCCTGGAGCAAATTCCATCTACCACTGGGTTGTTTTACAACTTGGAAGTGTGAATGTTTTGCTTTTTTAAAAAAAAAAATATTTTTATCGTTCATATACATTGTGTTTCATTCATGTGCATTATGGTCCATACAGACATTCATTTACATTGCATTTCATCCTTTTATATTATTTGTTTGTCTGTTTATTTACCCCCTTACAACCTCACATCAACAACTTTCATGAAAGCACATATGCCAGGTAATTCCTGCTTAAACAGTACTGTTTTGATCACTGTTGCAGCAGCCAAGAAAAGAATATTCACTCTCCAGAGCACGTATGCTTATTCCACGGGGATGCTGGCCTCACACTAGATATATACCAACTGCAGTGGGATTTGTGGATACTGCCTAACTATTTCATGGCTGATATCTGGAATCTCTCTTGCAAGTCCCCTCTGCTGGCTTTCTTCCCTACTTCCCACAGACCCACATCACCCCACTCAGGCCTGTGGATGTAACTGTACACGAGGCTCACACTTGTGCACCTGTGTATGAGCTGAAGTCCACTTGATGGTCGTGAGGTTAGTCACGTTGTTGTTAAGGGCTGTGGAGACAGCACCAACTCACTGTAGGACAGAACGAAACCCTGTACAGTCCTGCACCAACCACATTTACAATCTCTGCTGTGTGTAAGCTCATTCATGAATAAAATCTTCATTTCCATAGCCTTCCCTGTTAAACTGATTGCTTTCATATTCCACACATCCGAGAGACTTCATATTATTTAGGTCTCTCACTAGAAAGCAGTTCAAATGCACCAGAAATATTTGCAATATTAATTGTCCTATTCTTAGCACTTAATATAGCACATGGTGCATAGGAGATGTGCAATAAGTATGTGTTGAATAAATTATCATTGGATGACCCTGCAGCTCAGATATCATTGGTTGGAAATATTTCTTTATACCAAGAACAAATCCATTTTTACTTGATGTATACACGTGATTTTGTCCATTTTTTTCACACATTCTATCTTCCATTCCTCTTTATTCTGGTTAGATATGAATAGTAATAAAATTCATTAAAATTCACCAAATTCTGAACAGTCCAAATTCAACAAGCCCAATGCTCTAAATTTCTTTTTTCTTATACCCAACATAACTCAGCTTTGAATATGAATAGGGGTATCCCAGTTTGTGGGAATAAGTGGAGTTTTCATCAAAACAGCACTAAGTAGATACCACTTTTTACACCAAAGCTATTGCTACCTTGAGGAATAGAGTGATACTTTATAACGTAAGGAGAGCTCAGTAAACTCACATCCCAGTGTATCCACATTCTGCACCATCACCATGCACTTGACACGATCCTGGTGAACACGAAAATATTTCAGAAAAAAGGTAAAGAAAACAAAGAACCAAAATGTACATGAAAGCTTAGGAAAGTCAGAATGTATACCAGGTGGAACCGTATCAGAAACTCAAACCCAAAATCATCTAGATAGAACTGACTCGTAGCTGACCCTCCAGCAGGTTTTCAGAGGATGGATATCGCATTAGAGGAGATTACCCATCTTTATCCCAGTGAACACCTGGTGGATTTGAACTACCTGCCTTTGGACTGGCAACACGACTTCTGATCCATTAGGCCACCAGAGCTCCACCAGAGAAGGAGAACGCAAATACTTCTCACAAAGTAAGTTATAAAAAAGTGAAAACCCTAAATCTCGTCAATGATTGAAAACTTTCAAGACCTGGAAAATCAAGACAAGCCTTTGAGTTCATAGTTTTCAATCCAAGTATGTAAGTTGAAGGTTTGCATGACCAAACTGTGATGTATTGCTGTTTCTGTCTTTGAAAGGATTATGCTTGTCTCAGGTGCTGTTCTTCCTGTCTTTGTGACTCAAATTGGCTCTCTACAAATTACATCGGTTCTCTACCTCAATGCACCCTCCGTTCAAGAATGCATACAACGTAGATTCTCTAGTTCATAGATGTTGGCATATAAGGTTTTCCAAGTAGAACTGTAATTCTGAAATTCAACAAAATCTCCCTGCCCTCTGGGATCAAGAAGCTTCTCTGACATTCACGTGTTCAGTGAGCCTTGTAAACAGAAACGCGGCCAGCAAAATCCAAGCAGCTTTTTTTTTAATCCCATGATGCATTATTTTGTACAATGCATAAGGATGGTCTTAGAGGCATACCACAAATAAAGGATAATGAAATAAAAATAACTATTTTCCATATTGTGCCAAAGGCAATAAGCTCAAAACAAGTAATTAAAATATTCGCCAAAGGGATGGTGGGATGATTTGTATAATGCACCTTTTTTGTCTGTTTTCATTGTGATTTGAGTGAAAACTGGCAGTGCAGATTGGCATTCCACTCAAGAATTCACACA